TAGTTAAAAGACTGCAGACTGACTATGTCTCCAGTCTCTGAGTTGACATTAATAACAGTAGTCAATGGAATAGTTTTCGAAATACCATCTAATGATGAATATGTTACTTTTGCATTTTCTCCTGTATCAGGATCAACTGCTGTTATAGTAAAGATAGTAGCTCCCACTGCACTATTCTCTTTCACATATACATTAATCACAGGCTCTGAGAACAATGGGGCGTTGTCATTCACATCAGAAATGTGAACAGGAATAACACTGGTGCTGGAGAGAGGTGGGGTGCCTTCATCAGTAGCTATGATGGTGACATTATACTGAGGAACACTCTCTCTGTCAAGGGGTCCATCGACTGTCAATGAATAATAGTTTTTGTAGTTTAGCTTAAGTTTAAAAGGCACCGACCCGAGAATGTTAGCACTAGTGAGACCATTTTTACCCCCATCCTTATCAGTCACTGTCACCAAAGCGACCACTGTACCTACCTCAGCATCCTCTCTAACTGGGCTCATAAGAGAGGTAATAATGATTTCAGGTAGATTGTCATTAACATCAGTTACTTCCACTAACACTTTACCATGCACACTTCGAGAAGGTGTACCTTTATCTCTTGCCTGCACACGGATATCATAAGCTGTATTCTCTTCATGGTCTACTTTTCCCCTTACACGTATTTCCCCTGTATCTGGGTTTATCGAAAACAAAGCCTCAGGATTGAAATCCCCTCTCTCAATAAATGAATACACAATCTCACCGTTTATTCCCTCATCTAAATCTGTAGCAGTTACAGTCAGTATTGGTGTCTGAAATAGAGCGTTTTCACTGACCTGGGCCTTATACAGAGGTTGACTAAATACCGGAACATTGTCATTCATATCTATAACATGTACCACTATTTTTAACGTCCCTGACCTTGCTGGTTTTCCTCCGTCCAGAGCAGTTAAAGTAAGGTGGATAACAGACTGTTTCTCTCTGTCTAAAGCTTTCTGTAGCACCAGCTCAGCAGACTCGCTGTGCTGTCCGCCGCTCTGTACGTCCAAAGAGAAATACTCATTTGGAGTCAGCTTGTAGCTTTTTACCGAGTTACTGCCCGTGTCTGCGTCGTTAGCCACTGGGAGGAGATATCTCTCCCCGGTAAAAGAAGATTCCAAAATATTGAAAGTCTTTTCTTTTTCACGAAAATATGGCGCATTGTCGTTAATATCAATAATTTGTACCTCTATGCGATGCAGAGTGATTGGGTGGCTCAGAATGGCTTCGACGTTCAGGGAACATTGTTCCGTATTTGGACAGAGCTCTTCACGATCAATCCGATCGCAAACATAGAGAGCACCCGTTTTAAAATCCACGTCGAAATATCTCTTAGAATTGCCAGATGCAACTCTTAAATCCCGTTTTTCCAAGTCGTGAACATTAATCTGTAAATCCTTAGCGAGATTTCCCACGACCGTTCCTTTGTCAACCTCCTCGGAAACGGAGAACGAGAGCTGCGCTGTAGACCCACCCCATAAACAAAGCAACGCTGTTATTTGTATCCAAATCGTGACTGTTAGTCCTCTACGTCCCATCGCTGCCACAGAATGAAAGAAATTATCATTGTCGAACATGTCCACACTTAAGATGAATACCAGACGAAGCCCGTAGCTGTTCTGTGACCATGTGTGTATTTTCTGACAAAGCAGGGGTGGACTACTGATGCTTCGTACGGAGAGGAGGAGCCTGGGAAAAAAAAGGAGCCTCACGAATATTGTGGTCTCGAGCGACATCAACTGTTATTTTGGTGCTAATATACAAAGACAAAAAAGATATGCATATTATATACATAAATATAGCCTAAATTTGCAGAAGGTCCAAGCAGATGAAAAATTGATTCCAATGGAAAATGTAATAAAACCTCGTTCACAACATCGCAGGTTCTAATGTGTATAGTATGAGCGATATCAGTTGTGTTTCACCACGACACACCAAAGTAATGCTTTGCCATGCATGTAAAAACTCCATTCAGAGCGCAGGACCATGGACAGCGTCCCCACTGGTCAACATAATGACAGAGATGAAACTTGACCAACGACTTCACAACTAAAAATACAAGTTCAGCAACTGCTTCGAAGAATATCCAACAAAAAATTCCCAACAACCAGCATCATGTAGTGAATTACTTTTTTGTGGAAAAAAATGTGTCAAAAAATTCATCATTTACTTGTACATCCCCCAAAGTATTACTTTGTATCTATTTGCTTTCACAACCACAAATGAAATATATCACGAAAAGCCCGCAAATGTTGAAAGTATCCGAAATCTGATATAATTATTACATGTATTTCAGAAATTGAATAACACAATACAGAAATAAATCTACTTTTGGTTTACGAACAACTCACCTTGTCTTTATTTGGTAAAGTCTGAGTTCTGTTAAAA